TAAGGACAACTCAATCAGAAGAACGACCGCGTAAGCGTAGCGTCAATAATGTATTATCTGCGCCAGTTCTGTAGTAATTTTGCATGCTTCCAAACTGGCGGCCATGCTTGTATAGTGGTGGTTCGCTCATGAAAATGAATCATGAAAATGAAATGTGGTTGCAATATTTTTCACCGAGTTCGGTCCTCAAACTATGTTTTTCTGATTCAGAAAAATAAGAAATGCTAGTAAAGAAAAAATCAGCTCCATACATGGATTTTTTTTTCGATGATACTGTCCCTTTAATTTTGCCGGGACACTGCTGTTCGCGCGTGGTAGGTTGTAAAGGTTGATAAAATTACTGCGAAAGCACGATCGTACTCCAGTTGCGGGAAACCTGTAAACGCGTTTATGTTCCTGTATTCCCAATCCTAACTACGTTAGCTATGAGCTACCTCAACAGTAAACGAGAAACTAACGAACACGCATTATTAAAAAATGAAAGCGTACCAATACACACAAAGCATTGTTCAACACGTTTTTATTGTTTGTTTATTGGGGCTTAAGAGCGCGCCGACTACAAGGTCATTTTGCGCCAACACGTTTTTATAAACACCCAAACGACACCATTGTTGCAACATTCAGTTCAAGCTAGATTCCGTCTACTTGCACTGCAGTGAGGCGGTGAACTAGCGTGCAAATTTTTCCCTCACACGCTTCACATACGCGTACTTTAAAAAAAAAAACGTTGTAACCTTGAGCACACTACGAACACAAAAACCTCACTCACTGCAGCATATGATTCACATCAGAGTCCATTCCATCATACAGGGCCCGACAGGCCGACAGTCCGAAACATTTCCTACATGCTGCAGCGAGCCCCCATACCACCGGCTGCGAGCCCTGCCTCTGCAGACACGGGGCTCAGTCCGAAACCCTGCACTCTCCGCAGCGGCGGCGGCGCATCGGGAAAGGTTCTCACGCTGCAGGGGTACGCGGTCACACGACGATTTGGCAACGGCCCGCCCGCGGCTGCACCGGAGTCGAATTCGGAGCAGCTCTGGCCGAGCGAACACTCGACAATCGGCATGTTTTAGAGGTAGCACAGCGGAGGTTTAGGACCTCAAGCAGAGGATTGGAGTTGGACACAGCCGATCCATGAGTAAAATGGTCGTAGCTGTACTGAATACGACCTCTTTCAATTTGATTTCAATAATATTAAGCGTGTTTGATGCTGGAAAAATGTCATGCAGGACATTTTAATCTTCACAAAAAGAAATAATGGCATAATAACCGTTTTTCTCACTTCTTTAGTATGCTTACCTTCACTTCTTTCGAATATCCCTTGCTTCGAACTCCCCCCCCCCCCACGTCTCTACCCCACCCGCCCCTTTCCTCCATCCCCCACCGACTCCTCCTATCCATCTCATTCCCACCCCGACCCTCTCCCTCCCCCTCTCTGAACCACTCACCGGAATTTGATGAGTGACACCTGGCGCAGCAGAGACAGACAGATCTCTGCCAGGATCTCATGGCCGATCACAGAGTCACGCCGGTCGTACAGGGAAGACGCCCGCCCACAGCGGATCTGAACGAAGGAGGGGGAGGGGGAGGGGGTAACGTCGGTCGTATGGGGCAGACGCCCGCCCGCAGCGGATCTGAACGAAGGAGGGGGAGGGGAGGGGGTCAAGTCGGTTATACAGTGCAGAGACCCGCCCGTAGCGGATCTGAACGAAAGGGGAGGGGTGGGGACTGGGGAGTCACGCAGAGTACTGACAGGTGAGAAGGGAAAGGTCAAGGTATGGTTACACGGAGAGCGTTGTGACGTATATGCGGGGGGGGGAGATGTCGCTCGGTGGGGGGGTGGGGGGAGTTGGAGTCCAAATGGGCACATAGGCGCGCACGGCCGGTCCCCTGACTGACTTCGCCTGGCTATGGCCTGCCACCAACCGCTATCATACCTGTCAGGAGGCCCATAAATGTCAAGCACCCGTCGCGCTTCGAACCCGGCCTGTTATAACCGGGACACGTGCTCTCACCACGCGGAGTCCAACGCTCTACTGACTGAGCTACGGGACCGGCTTGAAACGCATTGCAATGTATATCTTGAGTATTACCAAGCTTAGAATAAATTCGGTCGGCTCATACTATCAGAAGCACGCCTGTATATCTTTATTAACTTTTTTGCGACACAAAAAAACGCACGATAAAATCAACATGAACCAACGGTAAACAACAATGCAAATGTCACGATCACGGACAAAAACTCCATGAGTGTCCACGATTGCTGACAGCTGTGCCGACTTAGTCCACCGACCTGTCTCCAGTCCGAGTTCGCAGCTGCGAGTGCCGAACAAAGACACACTTGACTCGACCGGGAGCTATAACCTGCGACCGTCCGACTCCCGGCGCTACAAACCACGCAATTCGAGGCGGCTCACAATACGGCGTTACGGTGGCAGCACAGGTCAACTATGCGTTACAGCGACACGGGGTATTGTTCGGAAAAACAATGCAGCGGTGACGGCAGTAATCACGCAGACAATCATTTTACGGTAGCTCCAGGCTGGAAACATTTAAAGAGCTTATGGACATGTCGACATATTCAATGATATTGGCGGTCGGGATATTTTGCTAAAAGCAAGCACGCGGAAATAAAAATAAAATACAGACAATACTGTGCCTTTACGCTGGCGCTTATCTATGACCTCACCCCGATAAATAGTTAGCTCCAAAGACCGTGACGGCAAACATCCGCTCCCATCATGACATTGAACACTCCTTTACACCACTGAACCTGTTTTACCACATTACCGACGCAAAATGTACCTCCTACGTAAGTTACTGGCATAAGCTACATGAATTATAAGCAACATGCATATAAGTTGTGTGGTAAGGAAGCGTGTTCCACATGAAAACATCCCACCTACCGTCCCAATTCATCACCGGAAGCCGTACACTGCGGTCGCCAGCGCTACCCGTTTCCCTCCCAGCGCAACGAACCGAGACTAATGCGACCGGAGTGGGCAGACGGTAGACCGCAGTCGGCGGTCCTCACCAAACAGTTACTCGGGCTCTTTGTTTGGTTTGTCCATTTAACTGAACCACATTCAATTTCCGGTATGACGAACGGGGGAAAATAACCAAACTGCCGTAATTTAATGTAAGTGGCCCGGATATTCCCGAAATGTAGCAAGAAATGAATTTCTTACCAGCAAAACATCGTAAGTCACGATGACACAGGTCAGCAAGCATTACATTTTCGTAAGGAATGGTCAGATGTATGAGAGGCCATCTTATGATTACGTAGCTCGTTACGGGGACGTTTCGAACGGGAATGAATACACGAACTCCCGAGGTGTAACCTGCGGACCTTTCAGACTCAACTTTTTACGCCAATGCGTCGCTAATTGCATGCCCTGCATGTCACCGAAGAAAGATCTACAGAAAGGTCCAAGAAAAGCCAAAGGAGGTCGAGGTTGATGGGAAATCGACTCTTACGATTGAGAACCATCGACCTACAATTCTACAGACTATATGGCAAGCCAGACGAAAGAAACTCCAATATCGAATCACGTACTCACCAGCGATTCAACGGGGACGTGCAGGCAGCGTTTGAAGAGCGCACACCGTATGAAGAGTCGGCCTCGGCCCTGCTGTGTGTGCACCCGCTGGCTCTTCTGGACGGCCTCCACGGCATGGTGGAAACTGGACGATACGCTGGCGACACGGGGAAAATGGGTGGTAAGAGAAAAGGGTGGTGGGTGGCAGAGACTTTGTAACGAAGTATACCTAAGTGAGAACATACCAGCTGACAAGGAAGCTCAATGCAAGGATGCCCATGAATAGCCTGTTCACCTCCTGGTAGGCTGACTCAGTAAGTCTCATGCATAATTGTGATAAACTAGCTTCTCTTCAAGGCTGAACTGTTTCCAACTTTCCCTCCTACATAATTTAGTGACCTTAGCCTGACTGACCTGTTCCTCTCCTGGTACACTGACTCCATCACAGACCAGTAGTCCTTCTTGGTGGCTCCAAATGGGGTGAACACAGGGCCCAGCAGACCTTCTCGGAATATCTTCTCCAGCACCTGTCGTAGAGAAATTAATGTTTTGGATGGGGAGCAAGAATTGATAAAAGGAAAAGGAAAAGTACTCAGTGCATTTTTCCCTTTCCTTCTTAAAAATAAAGCAAACCTTTAGTCCTTGCTCCACTTACCTCACATAATGGAAGCATGGATGGGTGGTCATCCAGAATTTCATTGCGCTCTTGGGAGTCCTTTGTCAGTGTCAGCACGTAATCTGAAAACATGACATTTATGGGATCAGCTGAAACATAAAATAAATGGGAAACTTTGTTATCAATTCATAATGTAAAAAAACATACAAAACGGGTTACACCAGTTGGTTGAATATGAGGAAGTCAATTTTAAAACATCCACAACTTACTTTTGAGCTCCTTTAGAAGAGGATGTGAAACAGACATAACTTCAAAGTTCAAACCTTTTTTGATAGTACAGTCCTTTCAAAAGTCTGGCCAAGTAGTAGAACCATGAACTAAAAGGATTGGCAACACTCCAACCTTTCCATTTTGATTTAAATTTCAGTTTTGACTTTCGCTTCTGCTTCTTGTCTGAGTTTTTCCACACTTGAGCAGAACAGTGGTAAGCGTAAAGTGAAAGGGTGTATCAGTATCAAACTTGTCAAAAGCCAGCGTCCTAACCAATTTCGAATTTATAGAGAACAAGTTGAACCTCTCCCACCATAGAAATTATCCGACCTATTCCCCACACTCCTCGCGCATTTTGTTTACGTGCAATCCGTTGCGTTGTTACAGTCAGCTGACTAAACACCACAATGTCACGAACGCACCATAAATTCACAAGTCTCCAAATCTAGAGATATTTTCAGAGCAGTGAGGGAGCTCCATCGGGACTATATGTTTTGATAAATAAAGTACATTTAATGGTGGTTTCATTGGTTTCATTAACGTGTTCTTGCTTCGAGGTGTTTAAAACATCCTTATGATGGAAAAACAGCAGCCTATGTCGTTTGCCGACAAGGCGACATCAATTTATTGAGCAGTAAACTAAGAACAGCATAACACTGTGCGTTTAGCACAATTTATCGCTTCACCAATAAACCGTCAGCGCCAAGTTTGAGCGAAAAAAAGTGAATCATCAACAAAAATATAAACCGACAAATAACCAGACAAAAGTATCAACAGACAACAATCAACTACAACGGACAACTCTCCTATATCACAGCCTTTCTCATCGATGAGATCACCCCATGATGACGTTATTTCGACCGTTCCATCTGACGTCACATTCTGACATCACTTTGTGTGCGGCTCCTCGAGCTGGGAGCGCAGCTGGGCGGCGCGCAGTTCGAGCGATCTCAGCCGCTCGTTTACCAGACTCTGCTCGTTGCGAGCGCGCGTCAGTTTGACGGCCACCTTCTCCTTTTCAGATTCCATCTCCGCCTGCGCGGTCAAACCAAGGGCAGGGTCAGCCGTACCTCACAATGTGGGCTTTGATAATCGACGAGTCAGTTGAGCTCGCTTTCTAACGGCAGTAAGTTCAAAGCTACTCTCGATGAGCTAGCCCAAAATGATGTCATTAATAAACTATGCAGAACTACTACGTCCAGCTCCGCTCCTGACAAAATAAATTACTTAGTTCTGATTATATTAACAAAAAAGATTAAATATACACCCAGTCATAATATATCGCAACCCTATTCCATCCTTACATTGACGGGTTTCTGCTCTATCTCTCCCTTATCCCCGCACCTGCCTGTCTCTAAATCTGTCCCTCCCCGCACCTGTTTCTGTTCGATGTCCGTCTCCAGGCGCTGCACCGCCCGCTCCTGTTCCTGCTCCTCGCTCTGCCGCTCCTGGAGGCGGCGCTCCAGCTCGTCTCGACTCCTCTCGGCGACGGCCGTCCGCTGCCGGGCCGACTGGAGAGCCACGCCGCGGCGCAGTGTGGACTCCAGACGGTCCCGCTCTGACGGGAAACAGGACCACCGGGGGTGACCGAATGGGAGCTGTTCAAAGATCCCGGAATCGTCCAAGAGGAGCCGTATCTGGTGCGAGGATGGTTGTTATGAGGAGCATTGTGCATTAAACATCCGACTTGCTACAGAAAGTACGGCTTGGCTGAAAAACGTAATTACGATACAAATTTCAATAAAAATGACTAGCCCGAGCGGTGCCTGTCGTATTATTCCTGACCACCTGTCCGAGGCGACCTAGATCTAGCCAAATACATCCACCGGTCGATCAATCATCCAATTTTACGGCCGGCTTGGGCTTTTTAGTCACACAGAACTGCTTTACACAGAGCCGGACCGAATAGCAACAGCTGCCTGTATTGGTTTGTACCGTTTTGAAGCCGGTGCAGTTGCTGCTGCTGCTCATCCAGCTGTTGCGCGTGCTCCGTGTGCTGCGCCGCCGTCTGACTGGCCGCCGCGTGCTGTCGCATCAGCTCCGTGAGCCGTGCGCGCTGCTCACGAACACTGTCGAGCTGGAGTCGAGACTGGGCCACCCATGAGCGGTTGGACGTCAGCCGTGCCAGATCAGACTGAATGAGGGGGAGAGGAAAGTCATAATTAGCAACAGGGAGGCATCGTATGCCAGAGGATTCGCAGTGGGCAGTAATCGCCACGCCATGTGTGGATCGCCCATGATCGTAAATACATACTGATACATACAATACATACAATACAATGGTCGCAACTCGCACTTGAGCTACTGAGTAAGCAAGTACTGAACCAATGGCGATAGGTTAAACTGGGATAAAGACGGGTTAAATTATGTAGCAGAAAGGACGACCGGGAAAGGTCAGACAAGTACGGGAAGCGCGGTAGGGTTGAGTCAGACCGATCGCGGTGGCGACCGTGGCCGTGATGTGACTGACGGACGACGGTCGTGGTAGAGCGTGGCGAGACCACGCCACTGCCGCTGCAGATGAGTTAGTGGCATGCTAAAGGCAGGTCACACTCAAGATTACTTTACTAATAGGTCGCACTGAGACACAGCTATCAGGGATTCAGGACAGGTTAAAGTTGTAAGTGGCGGAAGCATGGATGTTTATATGTACCTATCGATCTTCTGGAACCCGAGAACTGTCTTCCCGTATTACGTCGTCTTCCCGGATTATACCGTCTTTTCGAACGTTTTTCCGGGTTGTACCGCCTTTTCGGAACCGTCTTCCCGTTTTATACCGTCTCATCCCGTTTTCGGGAGCCGTCTTCCCGTAGTATCGTCTTTTCGGAACCGGTTTCCCGTATTTACCGTCTTTCCGGTTTTGGCGGGGGCCGTCTTCCCATGGTCCCGTATTATATCGTCTTTTAGGAACCGTCTTCCCGTGTAAACAGTCTTGCCGGTTTTCGTGGGCCGTCTTCCCAGTTCCCGTATTATATTGTCTTCTATCTCGGAACAGTCTTTCCAGATTATATGTACTGTCTTACGAGTTACGATCGAAGTGCAACGGTGGTACACCCTTTTTCTGTTTTCAACTGACTCATTTACCTACTTTGACAGCTACATTATTAGCCAAGCCACGATATAAGACAGCAGATATGAGAGAGCAGTGAGCACACTCACCTGAATTTCAGTCAGACAGGAGTTGAACTTTTCTTCCTTCTCAGCGAGCTGTTCCTTTTCACTTGATAACCTGACCCGCAGCCTGAGCAACTGGAGTTTTCGCTCGCTCAATGCCTTTTGAGCTGGAAATGAGAAAATAGCACGAGAGTATCAGTACATTTAGCCTTGAGTACAAATTACAATTATAAATTGGGATATTCATCTCTAATTATCTAGCCGTTAGCACCCAAAAATCGGAACAGCAAAGAACTTACTTTGCAAAAGGTTTGCCTTCCATTTGTCTCCTTCTTGCTCACTGGCTAGGATCTTTGCTTTAGTTGCCTCAATTTTAGATCCAAGATCGGTAACCAGTTTTAATAAATTTGAGTCGTCAGCCATTTAGATAAATTACTGGCAAAGTTCATAAATTTAAATTTCCCGCCGCCCCAGGTTCTTCAAAAGCATTTCAAGGACGAAAGGAAAAGTATCGTAAGCCAAGGCTGTTCATGGGATGAGCTTTACAATCGTTCATTCGCTCTACTCTGCGAATATTTTTTCTTTGCACCAATGACAAAGAGGTTCACACAAATCTCTATGGTTTCAAGGCGGCTTTTCTGCAAGCGAACATGATATTTACTTTTTATTTGAAGACGAAGTCGGCGCAATAGGTCTCGAACCGAAATGGAAAAAAATGTAAATTTTGAAGGCAGTGCAAATTGAAGTGGGTGTAGTGATTGTGTTTTTTATTGATGTGACTATTGATATTTACTGATTATTCCAATAAAAGGCTAGTTTTTGGTTCCAACGGTTTATATAGCCTTGGTTCCAACTGATCTATGGGCTGTTGATATAGTTGATACAGCTTTAAATGTGCTACAGTGTCAACTGCCAGTGAATGAGTTTCAATTTCAACACCTGACCATCATTTCAATTTATTGTTTGATTTGGCTTTGGTCTGTGTCCTAGTGTGTGCTCAGCATTCAGAAAATGAGAGATAATTTTCTGGGATCAGTACCTACCTAGAAGTACAGCATTACTTGGCATTAGTAGAGCAAACGTCACACGAAGGTTTTCCAACCGAGGAGAGGCGCTGTAGGTTTGTAGGTTGTAGGGTAGGTTTGTAGGTTTGTAGGTTTGTAGGTTAGGTTAGGTCAGGTTAGGTTAGGTTGGTTTAGGTTTTCCTAGAAAGAAGCACCTCCGGGTATGGTGCCTCTCCTTGGTTGGAAAACCTTCGTGTGATGTCTGCTCTACTAATACCCATTATTTTAGGGACAATCTCTGTGATTACTTCAAGTCACGATATTAGATTGCTGTTTCAGTTTTGATGATGATTGTGTTACTTGTTGTCATATTTATTGTGCAAGGCGCCAGCCTACAAATTGTATGATCTTGGTGGTCCCAGTAAACTGCCCTTGATTATCCAGATGTCCACCACACATACCTATTGAACAGTGGGCAGTGAGTGTTCTATTAACTCTGTTTTATTTAACTGGTGCCTGGTTTTCAAATTGAAATCTGTTCCAAAATACTCATTTTCTATGCAAAGCATTCATTTTGACCTGTTGTAATTTGTAGATATAGGTATTAATTGTAATTTCTAACAGTAAACACTGGTCAGGAAGTTTTTCACCGTGTCCTTTTTGCAGTTGATGGTGATGCTGTAGATCTGCATCATGGGTGACAATCAGCAGCTTCTTAACCTGCTGTCCCTACCCAATGTGCTGCTGGACCCTTCAAAGCAGCAGCAGGCTGTCACTCAGGTAATTTTGCTATGCAGATATCATGGATTTGATTATGCAATGGTAAGTATCAGGATTGGTCGATGAATGATTATGGACTGAGGACATGTGTCATTCTTGACACACGCACTAAATATGTGCAACATGGTTAACAAAATATTTTCACTTAATTTGTCAAACCTTCCTTAGCATTCATCTAGTCAAACCTACATAACAGCTTGTCAAAACATACCTAACAGTGATCACTCTCCTGGCAGCTATGTCAACTTATGAACACGGACAGTGATGAGCCTCGGATCGTCCAGCCCAGCATCAAGCTGCTCTCCTCACACCAGCCGCTGACGCGGATCGTGGTGATGACTCTGGTGCAGAGGTGGGTGGAAGAGTCTTGGCCGTGCTGAGCTTGGAGTTGGAGCCATTGGTTGGTCTTGACTGACATTGTTACTACCTGCTTCATACCTTCCTACAACCAGCAATAAAAATTTGAAGAGGTGTTATTTTATTTAAAGGACAAACACTTCCAGTATTGACTATTATGTGGTTGTCTGTCTGCAGTCTCCTTTCAGACCGCCAAACTTGTTGATTTCATGTCTGAGGTGCATCTTCTTCCTTGCTATGACAACCTCTGGTCCTGTCCCCATCCTGCCTGTCATGCCTTGCCCTCCTGTGATCCTCTGACTCCTCCTGGCTACTGCAGCCCGCTCTGACCCTCCCCTCACCTGCCCTGCTCTGCCTCCAGACACGTGGGCCGTAACCCAGACATCATGCCCCAGGCGACCAACGCTCTGCTCAAGTGTGCCGTCGACCCGAACCCGGCCGTGCGACGGGCCGCCGTCAGGTGAGTTTTGAGTGACGTGTTCATCGGTGAAGGAGATGATAGATCGAGTCGGTGGGGTAGCGATGGGTTACATCCATGGATCCCTCGATGCTGGTTACTCTGCAGTTTGTTGTCAATAAGCTCCAGCCAGAAAACCCTATGGAGCCTTTCGTTTATATATTCACAGTAGTCGTAGTTAATTCCATCGTTTATTGTCTGTTGTCTGATCTTATACCATTGTTTGGTATGGTACCCAGCTCATTGACATTTAGCGACACTTCTGTTTTGCCTCATTGCCCCAGCTGGATTGGACATTGTCTCGCCCGTATAAATCGTGATCTGCACCTACCCACCCAGCTGTCACACCCACGAGTCTAACACTCGCCTTTCCCCTCCCTTCTTCGCTCACCGACAGCACCCTGGCGCGTATGCCGGACTCTGGCGACATCACGCAGCCGGTGATAGCGGCGGCTCTGCGCGACCCGCACCCCTCCGTACAGAGAGCCGCCGCAGTGGCGTGTCGGGTGTTCCCCAGGACCAGCCAGAACTGTCATATCGGTGAGCACTGAGAGGAAGAAGGGAAATGGACGAATGTAGAGTGGAGAGGGAGTAATGGAGTAAATGAGAGATAATGACGAGATTGATAAATCATATTGTTTAAATTCGCATGGGAGTGAATTTTGGAGGAGGGAAAAAGGTATGAAAAGAAGGAACGACGAAGAGAGAAAAAGGAAGGAAGGGAGGGAGACCAGGACATTTGAAGGACGAGAGAAAATGACTGTTGCAGTTGTAGCTCTCATATTTGCGAGAGGGTAAGATAAGGGCTATCGGTAATAGCGAGAGAAAGCGTGAGACCTAAAAATATTTCGTCGTCTTCCTCATACAATGCTGCTGACTCGATCGGCTGACAAAAAATCGAGTTTTGACACCCCTACCTACCTCCCTGACACTATTCACAGACCACATAGACGAGCTGTACCGTCTGATCCGGTCCGATGACGCCCTGCTGGTGCACGCCTGTCTGATGACGCTCGACGTCATCCTGGCCGCCGAGGGCGGCGTCGTCATCAACCGCGCCATGGTGCGACACCTTAGCTCGCGGTGAGAATCAGTGGAGCGGGAGGAACGAGAGAGGAGAGTGAGGGCTGAGCTGGTCTCTATTTTCTCCATTTTTTACACCTTAATTTGTCAGGGGCTATGACCCTTAGTTTCCGCCACTTTGGTTACAGATGCTCGTATTCATAAGTTCCGGCAACTTGTCGCCGGGCTTGTGGATTATCCACGTGCTCTGTCACAGATGATGCACTTCATATTTGCTGTTACACTTCCCCGTCGCCGTCAACGTCTTGAGTAACAGGCTGGACTGGACACTCACACTGGTAGACATTTTAGTACTCCAATCCTGCTACCGACTGAGCACAGGTTCAAGTTAACCCGCGCCCTGCTGGGGGGGGGGGGTGTTTGAACACCCCCCCCCCTTGTGGTTTTTCGCGAATACCTTATCAGTTATCATACATCAATTCTACACATGTTGTGAAAATTTCAGACCAAGGTCATTCAAGGTCAGGTCACCAGGTCACTTGAAGTGACCTCACCTCATAAAAAGTTTCAATGTCTGTCATAGCTACACCGAGTGACCGATCGCTTTGAAACTTTCAGCGATTGATAAGAGTAGCAGTATCTATAAAATGTATATCTCGGAATTTTGATATCGGTGACCTAAGGTCAGGTCAATTTTGCGACCTCCCCATTATAAGTCAATGGGAGAAAATTGAAATGCGCCTCTTTTGGACGAAAGACATTATAAACACTCCCAAACACTGAATTACAAGTGGTTTAGACACACTGAACATGAAAATGGTGTCCGTGACCCTTGTTTATGCCCTGAGGTCATCTTAGGTCACGAATTGTATCTAATAGTTTTTCGCAAATAACTTTTGATAGAGGCATGCTAGAGCGATGAAAACGCCTTAGATGTGTTCAGCTCGACGATACGGATCGACTGATATGCAACATGACCCTTTCCGGTCAGGTCATGACCTTGACCTGAGGTCAAATTTTCAAGTTGACCTTTCAAGGTCAAGTTATAGTTCATTCGATGCGTCTTGACGAGAGGAACACGATGCCGGTAAAAGTAAGCTCGTACAAGGCTTGGGTCAAAAGTTATTGCCGAAAAACTGTTTCCGAAAAAATCGGCTATTTTTGCAGTTTTTGCCCCCTGCAGGCAAAACCGTTGACGTTAGGTCAAATCTGAGAGAATTACTCAGAAAGGGCGTTAATAGGGCTATCGAATGCGCTTTTCCGCGGCGCTGTAGCTCTATTGGTTCCCGAGTTATGCGTTGGCTTCTTGGAAATTTTCGATATTCGACCTGGAAATCGGCGAAATTTTGCCTTCAATGACCTCTGGTGACCTGACCTTTGACCTGACCAAAAAATTGACCGAAGTGATTTCGTCATTATTTTTGACGCTCTTTCGAACGCCGCCTTCCGCGTATCGCTACGTGGCCCAGGAGCCGAGTTACAAGGGGGGGGGGGTGTTCAAACACCCCCCCCCAGCAGGGCGTGGAAATCCAGGACCCCCAGCCGGGCGCGGGTTAATGAAATTGGCGAGATCGGGCCTAATAGGACAATCAGTTACACGTGTCCCGATAACATGACGATGAAGATGACTCCTCCCTCTCCAACAGGAGCCGCTCTCTCCCGGACGCAGTGCTGGTGGACGTCCTCCGCCTGCTCTGTCGGTACCAGCCGGCTTCGGATGAGGAGCGACTGGCCGTGATGAACCGGCTGGACTGGGTCCTGGCCTCGCCGCGGCCGCATCTTATCGAGGTGGGTTGGGACGCGGGGAGTCGGAGCTTCGGGCGAGGGAGGGGAACACTGCGAGGCTTGGTGCCCAACACGTTTGAGCAGCTCATTTTCGAGGTAGGTATCAGGCGAGGGAAGGCTGTACTAGAATATTTAACACGTTCAGCGGACATTGATGAAGAAATTGCTGATTTGATGATTTCTCATCGATGAGTAGCATCCATTACAAAAACGGAACGGCGATCTAGTACAGGTTTCGTTGAAATCACTCGTGGGTCTAACAATCATTCTCCCGTCTCTCTCCCGCACAGGCGGCGCTGGACCTGTTTTTCCACCTCTGTTCGGGCGACCTGTCCCACCTTCGTGCGGACGCCGTGAGTCGCGCGGCCGGGGCGCTCTGCTCGCCGGGGCACTCACCCAGAGAGTGGCGCTGGGCGGTGCTGCAGCTCGTGAGGAGTCTGGGCACGGAGCATCATGCTGCGTTTGCGCCGCATTACAGGTATGTGCTCAAAGCGCGAGGGAGGCCGCTGGGATGCGGTGTCCCATTTGTCGATTGGCATGGGCAACGACTAAGGACACTCAAATGAAATATATTTTTCATTCTCAGCTGTTTTTTTTTTTTCGAGGACAAATTCCACTTACAATTTCACCGAGTATGAACATCTGCATGTATAATGGGTTATGATGCCTCATTTTTGGACCTTGTCTGAATGGTCATTCTCCAATCTTATCCTTTTAAAGAAGGTTTTGATTTAACCCTCTGATACCAATCCAGCATACAATTTTGGGATACTGGAGGGGTGCAGCTTGGGTCCCACACTTTCGGTATGGAACAGAGTTGGGGCCTACGTGAGGCCTTCGGTTAATATGATCGCTATGAAACCATGCGAGAGATAAGACATCGCCGCCTCACCGATGTAAACGGAAAGAATGTGAGGCGGAAGGGACTATCGATGAAGAGAATGATGGTTTTGGAGACATTAGCGGCCGAAATGTTAGATTAGATAATTACGGTCATTACTACGGAATATGGATGAACAATCGTAATTCGTAGCTATCGATTTTATCGTGCCATAGCAGGCGCTACTTCATTTTTTTCTCGCTCTCGCAAATTCATGAGCGTAGTAATGTTTTAACACACTTACTTTCTCGTCAGGTACTTCATACCCCGTCCGTCGGACGGTGAGACGCTCTCAGTTCAGATGATACAATTCCTCTGGCGTCTGACTGTCCCGTCTACTGCCTCCGCTGCCACTGCCGCTGCCTCTGCTGGCTCGGCCTCTACTGCCTCCCCTGTCTCCAGCGCTTCTCCAGTATCCAGTGCCGCCGCGTCCGCCGCCGCCGTGGCTCCCGTCGTGGTGCGGGAGCTCACCACCTGCCTGACGTCGCCGCCGCTACGGGAGGCGGCCGCCCAGTCGTTACTCCGTGTGGCAGCTCATAGACCAGAGCTGGCAGCGGCCGTGGTGGAACCGCTGTGTAGACTAGTGAAAGACGATGGTGGGGGAAACACAAGTGGAAACACTGGTAGAAATGGTATTGGAGGTGGAAACGCTGTTGGAAACGGTCTTGGAAACAATATTGGATACGGAAATGGAAACGGCGATGGAATTCGTGATGGATTTAAAAGTGGGGTAGGAGATGGAGACTCAGACCTCCCCAGCTCTGCCCAGAGCGGGGCGGCGGTGGTGGCCGGTGCCCTAAACCACTCTGACTTGGCGCCGCTACCAGCCGCCGCCCGTCGCCGACTCCTCTCAACACTGCTCTCTGCAGATTTAGAGTCACTACCGGCCCATGCTCTATGTCGGCTTCTGGAGGTACTCGGACGGTGGGGTGGAGCACTGCCGACAGTCGCGGCGCGGCTGCGACGGCTGGCGCACTGCGGCGAGAGTGGCGAGGTGGGCAGAATAAGTGACAATCATGACGCAATAGGCTGTGGGGTTGATGGCTTGGGTAGCATCTCTCCTTCCGGTGGCATAAGGAATCACTGCAACGCTCTAAGAGATCTCTCCGTGCGTCTAGCCCTTCTAGAAACCGTAGCTCGTTTATTCATATATCGCCCTGCCGAGCTTCAAATCACGCTCGGTGTTCTAATGGAGCGAGCTGTTTCACAAGGGGGAGAGGTGGCCGCGGCCGCGGCTCGACTTTACGCAGCACTGCAAGTGACCGAGGGAAGAGAACTGATGTATGGAGAGAGGGAGGAGGATGAGAGAGAGGAGGGAGGAGAGAGGACGCCCAGTATGTCGGTGACGCCCACCTGAGTTTGTGAGTTTGGTGAGACAGTGAGTTTGGCGAGTTAGTGAGTTGTTTATGAGCTCGCGTGGTGGCAAATGTCGAGCGACGATGGCTTGTTATTGGGTCGAATTGAACGATGGTTTCGTTATTCCAATGTTAATTTTTACGCGACTGCCTGTTTATTGATGTTTATTAATTGTTTTTACCGAGCGGTTATTATGTTACTTGGGCATGAATTGTGTTATTTTGTCTTATTTAGTGCGAGCCTAAGAGTGTGATGCGACTCTACTGGCTGGTATCAATTTAGTAATCACTTGAGTATCATCCGTGGTCTTCGAAATCTGCCTACTTTTCGGTGCCTGCTTTTCAGTGCACTGCGGCATGTTCAATCCACGTCCATGTGTACATTTCATTATCATTTGCGTCGTTTCATAGAGCGGTGGCTGTCAAGTGTCACTATTCTTGTTGTGTGTTAGAGCTTCATGGAACAATCATGGAAAGCTTCCAAATGAACCGTAATTACAATTTCTACATTTTGTCTAGTGTATTGAATGCGAATGACCGTGTTTGAATTCTGAACGATCGCAGGCGCAGGCTAGGTCAGGTGCCTCTCTCGGAGTCAATTAGCTGATTGCCTGGCGGTAAGGTTGGGCTGCTCTGTCCGCATTTCCTCAGAACTCCCACCTGCATCATAACAAACCGCGGAGTGCTGAACCTCAGTATTCAAACAGCACAAAAATGGTTTCATTGAAAATTTATTTTCTTCCCGACACAACCACATCCATGACCTGGCGCAAGAAATGTACAGAGATGGCATGGCATGTCCTCATCTTACATACATCGTTACAAACATGAACTGGGCCGAAAATACAGTCATCCATCTCAGGACAGAACGAGCACACACAACGAGCTTACCGCTAAAATCAGCCGGACAACAAGTACACGCTCGATTCCATCCTTTCACATTCACAATGTCACGTGTGCTGGACAATGCGCTCCAATCGTATACCATCGCCTTGCTCCCTTCTCCGTTGGCCAGTTACTTTTCTGATGCAAGCCCAGAAGTGCTCCCCCCATCACTCCCGCTCTTAATGGTCATTCCCCATTCAGGTTCCGCGAAACAGTCACTGCCACCGCCCCCCCTTGACATGTTCAGCAACAAAGGCTGTCCTCCCTCCAATTTCTTTCCATTCTCTCCCGTCTCCATCCTATCATACCCTCACTTCAAATCCCTTCTCTCTTCACTCCTCTCTCCGTTCATTCCTTGTCCCTTTCCTCTCCTCTCCCTCCCTTCCCCACCAGTTTATCCTCAGTTCATCAGCACCTCCATCTGCACCAGCCGGGCGTGTGTATCGCCTGGCAGTCTGTAGGGCAGACTGCCAGCGAACGTGATGAGAAGTCTGGCAGTCTGGCGCAGCTCGGTCGGAGCGATACCGGCCTCGCCGCGCTGAGCCGAGTGGAGCAGAGTCATGGCCGCTAGGAGGACGTCGGGCATACAGCGACGCACCTGAGGGGGAGGGGAGAGGGGGGTAATTTAGCGGCGGACCAAATGATGAGATGAGTGGCATGGCGGCATTCATACCGCGCGCGCGGTAACAAAAAATGGTTACGCGCGCGCGCGTAACAAAGATACGAAATGTTTAACAGACAAACGACAAGACAGTACATTTGTAGTTTTAGCGATGGTAACTGAGAAGTCAATTTCGGCTGAGTTACGAAATTATTATTGATATCGCCATCGACGCCATCCTTCTTTCTAGTCAACTTCTTCTACGTCCTCTTTCCTCCCTCTTTTTTCCCTCCCGCTCTCACCTCTTCCTGCAGCCTCCCGAACTCTGCCAGCCTCATCTCCAGCTCGTTCTGCTGCAGCGGCACGAGTCGCAGCCGACGGAGCACCTCCAGCGCCCCGTCAATCCGCCGCAGACGGTACAGGTCAAAGAACGACATCAGGTCCAGTAGCAGGTACAGAGTGCCGGCAGACTGTGGGGGGAGAAAGGGAAAGTTACATAGTATTAGTCATAGAGTCAGAACGGGAAGGGTGTCAGTCACCTTATAGTTCAGAGGGTAGTGGAAGCGAAGAGGGTTAACTCTTATTTGCATATCAGGAAGGTAGTGCTCAGCTGCAGCGTCCCACTGACATCGAATTCATACTAAATTAACACCCTACCAGACACAAGCTCCATTCGGCTTCGCTCCAAGCCACCGTTCAACCCGATATGTCATTTACGTATGCCTCGTCTAGTTCTATTTCAACTCAAATTATCAACATCAGCCGCCTCCCGGCGCCCTAAATGTCACTCATCACTTACCTGGATCCCTTGATCTCAATTCTCAACCCAGCGGACCCACTTCCCTTTATCCCACCTGATGGATCCCTCCCCCGCCCGGCGCACCTGCGTCCCGTTCCTATCTCACCTCAGCGGATCCCCTGTGTCCGTGCTCCTTGAAGCGCCGGGCGATGCCGATGGCGGTGCCCTGAAGCCGCTCCCGGCGCGCCGTGTCGGTACTGGACACCAGCTGACTGAGCAGGCGGTTCAGCAGCTCCAGAACCTGACATAGGGAGAGATGGTGTCAGTACAACTGACACAGCGGCACAGGCTGTACCTTACTGGAGACCAGCTGACTGAGCACTGATCACTCATACCGACGCACTGGCCCCTGAGACACGCACACTCGGATTCAACAATGTAAGGTTACCTGAACTCCCCGGGACAACCTGTATAAGTGTTGGACCAAGCATCGTTCCTTGATCTCCCCATCCAAAGGATACTTATAGGCCGGGCGAGCAACTGTTACTATCCACACAAAACACCAACATCATTCAAAAAACATTCACTGTTCAGTTAGGTACTTGAACCCCGCGGGGCACACTCCAATTGTTGGACCAAGCATCGTTCCTTGCTCAGCTGCACCCCTAGCATATCTCATACACGGCGTACCATGTCAAGCCGGCCATTGAAACAAATAAATAATAAGCTTATAGAAACTTTAAATAAACGTTGATCCCCCAGGATCGCACGGTCGTACCCCGCAGACCGAGCATCGTACTCGACCCATTGTCATAAGGTCGTACTCATACCTTAATTAGTGTCGTTAGTCGTACCTTATCGTGTTTGTCGGCGAGGTCGTACAGCTGTACGGCGTCTTCGAGCTGACCGCGGCTCTCACACTCCTCAGCCACCCGCTCGATGACGGGACGCGCGTCAAAGTTGTCGTACCTGGAGCGAGACACGCAGAGGTCAGGTCAGGTCAGGTGACCAAGCTCAATCGGGGTCGGTAGAGATGTGTGGTAATCCTGTAGATGCTACCAATACGGCATTCTCTCCTCCTTTTTCCTGAGCCGGGAGCCTCACTACCCTGTTCCCTATTTTCATCAATCCATGACGTCTATTCGAGTGCAGTAACGCTCACCTAACGGGTGGTCAGTATGAAACTGGACAAAGTTTGAATTGTTACCGTGTCGAAAGTTTTCAAGCGAAAGCAACGAAAATCGCGTTACCGTGCCATTATTTTGTTTTAATCACGCTCGGCCTAATGGATCTGCGACACTGGACCTCTGTCAGCCTCCAAGCGCACGCGCGCTGGCAGCCCCGCTATTGTCTTTCGCGGCACCTCCGGGTCGATTTGCCGGATGGCCTGCTGGATTTTCTGCTTCAATTGTGCGTCTCAGCTGACCTGCCACCTTCCCTTATGCACTTTCTGTTTGATGAGCCCCCACAGATCCTCAATGGGCTAAATCTGAGGGGTCCATGGTGGGTTCATGTCACGTGTTATTTCGGGCACCCCAGCCTCCTCAAGAAGTTTCGTGTTCTAGCGCGCGTACTGTGGCTGTTGCAAGGTCGGAACCTAACAGAGCATCATGCTCTGTGTTCTGAGATTCAATAAGTGGTAACAACACGCCATTCAAACACTTTTCATAGCACAGTTCGCCCTTTACATTGCCTGTGCTCGTCAAGTTACTGGACGCGTGAGCCCCTCGGACTCATGGCAAGCCAGACGGGCATCTCGGGTGGATGCTTGCTCTCAGGTCGAAAGCGAAGGTGCGATCCACATGTGGAATAGTGTCTCCACCAGCTGAGGTGTAAAATTCGGCAATGGAAGGCATTTGGCTGCCACTGCAGGTGAAGTAAGATTCTTCGTCCATATGCAACTCCATGTTTTTGCTACCCTGCATTGGACCCTGTGACAGACGGCGCAGGCGGGTTTTCTGCGTACGAAATTGTGCCTCCGTCACCTTTATCCTATTTTTGTACCTGATTCCTGCTTGTTGACACATTAATTGGTCATATGTTTTGAAGATTCCAAAATTTCTTCCCAGAGATCACAAGGAGAGCCCCAACTGTTCGGTGACGGCGCCGGTTTGTTTCTTCCGGTGCTGAATGAGCATTTTCTTGGTGATCTTGCCGTTCCCACCATGCAAAACATCTGCAAGTCCTCAGAATTTATCGATGATCACATATTCTTAAGATCTGGTTACACCCTATGGCGTAATGTGACGCATAATGGTAGCACTTTTGTAATTTGTGTTATTTTCACAAACTTGCGCGAACAGGTCCCGGAACGCTTGCTGACTTACCGGCGCAATGTTTTCTTCTAGTTAATAGCAGAACGTTGAAATCTGAGCTGGTTATATAGAATAACTGGAAGTATTCACCTGCCAAAAATAAGTAAAATCTGTCCATAATTGGAGACGCTATGCTTAATCAAATTTTGTCCAGTTTCATACTGACCACCCGTTATATCAAATATCCCGAAGTTCCATATCTCTCATACTGATGCCCCCAGGGCTGCGGAGTCGATGAATTTTCGGCGACTCCGACTCCGGCTTTCAAAAACCAGCTCCGACTCCGACTCCGACTCCGGGCAGAATTGTCGACTCCGACCGACTCCAACTCCCGACTCCGACTCCGCAGACCTAGCAGGGCTGCGGAGTCGACAGATTTTCGGTGACACCGACTCCGACTCCGGCTCGGGTTTCTAAAATCGACTCCAACTCCGACTCCGACTCCGGTCACAACTGTCGACTCCGACCGACTCCGACTCCGACTCCGCAGCCCTGGATGCCCCTCACCTATCCATGGAAGTCTCATATTTCCATTAGCTCGCCTACCCAAAGCATTCATTCATCCATCCATCCAATGAATCAAAAGATATCCGTGACGTCTATTTCTCACCTATCGAGGGCTCCGGGCTGCCTCCGTCCGTCTGCCGCCATCCTTCCCAGCAGCCTCTCGTAGCTGCCCGACTGGAGTGCCAGCTCAGCGGCGGCCGCCGCGAACAGGTCCTCGCCGCCCTCGGCGGGCGGCAGGCGGCGCAGCAGGAACAGGTAGTGGAGCGCCGACTCGGGCTCGGGGCCCTCGAACCGGCGCGTGTAGAGGAGTACCAGACGGGCCAGGTTCAGTCGGCGGCCACCGGCGTCAGAGTCGGACGACACTGCCGTGAGAGGGAGGGCGGGAAGGGTTAGCGGGTGTTTGTCGGGGCGATAGCTTGAACAGCTCAAAGAACAAACCAGGGGAATTGTTCAGGGGTTGGCTGATGCCGGTGTGTAATGAGTGCCGAAGAAAATTGTGACTAACGTCGTCTCGGCGGGATAAATAACTTGTTTTTTGCAGTTTAGATGCCAATCGCATTATATATTTTGCATGACGCAGCTCTCCCCTTTTTTTGCAAACCCTCGCACTCAATTCTTTAATAAAACCACAACACTGACAAGAGTCACAGACACTAATTCAGGCCCACTTCCACAATAAATCCGTTACACATCCCTACGTTCCACATGACTCATTTCCCCCACTGCAAGCCACCCTTCCCTCCCCTCCACTCACGTAGCGGCGCCTGCGGTGATCGGGCCAGCAGCAGCAGACTCAGCTCGTGCAGTGCCAGCGCGATATGGACAGCGTGCGCGCGCAGCCGCTCCACGCGCGCCAAAAACTCCACGGCTGCCTCCAGCTGACCGGTGAGCAGCAGCACGCGGAAGTACAGCGCCGGCTGGTTGTACGCGTCAAAATGAGACTCGCCTGCCGAGGGAGAGGGAGACGAGAAATGTTAGAAAATAATGCTCCTCTACTTTCCGGGCACCGTGTTTTGTTACCGTTGGACAGACAACAGTCGGTTCTTACGGCATTGCATATGTCTGCTTCAAGTGGACCATTTGTTTACGTTGTGTGTCATTTCCATGTACCGATGGGTATTTAGTTTTCCAATCTACACGATTACCAAGATTTGCCATGCTTCAAAGAAATATTTTACTTCTTCATATTCCACTGGGTACCCGTTGGTCACAAGCATCGCACTTTTACTGTAAACAAAGTTGTTTCACCCGGTACCGCATGCGTGAAATCTGAGCAGTCGTTTCACACTTTTACCCGTACTTTTGACCAAGTTTACCGACCCGTTCTCTCCACGTACCGTACTTGTCGACCAGTGTGGTCTGCAGCCGGGAGAGGGCCGCGCGCTGCTCGTCGCCGGCGGGCAGCGCGCTCAGGCCGCTCAGTTTCATCCAGAGGAAGTCGTCGGTGGACGCGGTCTGGTCAGCGGACCGCTCCACCGTGTCCTCGGTGAGGTCCGGCGCGCCCAGCGCCGAGCACACCGCTCTGGGGGGACGGGGGTGTCAGCAGGGTTCAGGAGTCAACAACCAAGTCCCAAAGGGTGATAAAACTGACCACTTCAGCTCCATTTGGCTCCGTTCCATTATACTGGAATCTGTTCCGTCATCCGTTCCGTCCGTTCCATTACCCCCGATCCATCCTATCAACCGTCCTGTCTCCATCCCCGTCCTTTTCCATTTCCCCTCCAATTCCATCTCAAACATAATCTCTCACATGTCATCCAACCACCCCATTCTACCCCACCCTCATCGCCCTTCACCTGGTGTAGTGGTCCCCGGTACCGCTGGCCCGACAGCTGTACTGCAACTGTCGTAGCTCCGACAGACACTCGGGCGGCAGCCGGCCGTCCTGACTGGCCTCCACACGGGCCAGAACGCGCGCGATGTCCGACAGAGGCGGCCTGTGAATGAAGCCGTACAAGATAGTGTCAACGCCATCAGTGGTTGTAGTTATATAAGCCCATGCAAGGTGAAATATAGGCACCGCACTCCTATTATCTATCAAAGCGAGGGGCATCCAGGGCTATCAGTACCGATATAGATGGCCCTGATACTGCAATTTTTGTCCGGCCGTACGTAAGAAAACCATAACTTCATATAAACACTTTCCAAATTACTCCCAAGAGACGAACTGAACATTACGTAAAATTGGATCCAAATAACCCCAAAGATTTCCAAACTCCCTTCCCTTGCTCCCAGTCTTACCCGGCTCGCTGAGCAGCCTGCCGGGCGGCCGGCGGGTCGCCACAGCGCAAACAGTGGTAGATGACCGCCCAGGCGGGCAGGCCCTGCAGCAGCGGGTCGTCGGGCGCCGCGGTGGGCGGGCGCACGGCCAGGTACGACTGGACGAGTTGGAGAGTGCCCGGCTCGCCGCCCAGACCGGCTATTGACAGGTGGCTGTACACGAGACGCTGCAGACGCGACACGTAACTGAGGGGGAGGGGGAGCAAAGGTCACGTGATTAGCGACAGAGAGGTGGCTGTACACGAGACGCTGCAGACGCGACACGTAACTGTAGGGGGAGCAAAGGCCACGTGATTAGCGACAGACAGGTGGCTGTACACGAGACGCTGCAGGCGCGACACGTAACTGTAGGAGGGGAGCAGAGGTCACGTGATTAGCGACAGACAGGTGGCTGTACACGAGACGCTGCAGGCGCGACACATAACTGAGGGAGGGGGGAGGGGGGCAAAGGTCACGTGACTATGGGTTAAAAGATAACGTCATAAAAGAGACACGGTGTGGTAAAAACCCATAGGGGACAAATCAGCAGAATTCAAGAAAAACTTATTTGAAAAAGTGCGAAAAGACGCGACGACTTTCTTCGAAACGCCCATCTTCCATTTAAAGTGACACAAATATGGCACCATTATTGACAAAACTGTATACTTAACAACCATATGAATTTCATGGGCGTTAGCTAGCCCTCGATGAATTAATTGGCCGCTCACCTGGTCTCGAGGAAGCGTTTGGCCTGTCGTATCATGGCAGCCTGCACCGAGTTGGAGAAGCGCCCCACCTCTGATCGGACGCCCACCTGTGTGACGCAGCGCACCGTGTCCCACAGCTCCACGGCCACCTGGCGGGCGGACAGGGAAACACACAGAGGTGAAAACAGACAGAGGTAACACCGTGTCCCACAGCTCCACGGCCACCTGGCGGGCGGACAGGGAAACACACAGAGGTGGAAACAGACAGAGGTAACACCGTGTCCCACAGCTCCACGGCCACCTGGTGGGCCGACAGGGAAACACACAGAGGTGGAAACAGACAGAGGTAACACCGTGTCCCACAGCTCCACGGCCACCTGGCGGGCGTACAGGGAAACACACAGAGGTGGAAACAGACAGAGGTAACACCGTGTCCCACAGCTCCACGGCCACCTGGCGGGCGGACAGGGAAACACACAGAGGTGGAAACAGACAGAGGTAACACCGTGTCCCAAGGCTCCACGGCCACCTGGTTGGTGAATAGAAGAAAAATTACTAATTGTAGATAACATCACACTTTGATACATACCACGGACGTTGCTGAAATCAAAGACGCGTGTAGGACTGACAGAATGAGCATTGAGCAGGTGCATCACCTAAAAGGCTTGAATCCAATTGCATTATCTGTGATTTTTTGGCAGTACTGAGGGATAAATAATAAATGAGTAGAACAGAACATTTCGATAAAAATTAGGCAAATTGTATTTACATTCAAAGAAAAAATAAATACATGGTCATATGCGAAAATATTTCCTATTAAAAACGACTCCAACTATCACCCATTTACAAGTTGGCAGTGGCAGCGTAACAAAAAATATCCCGCATGTCGAGCCGCCGCCACTCACATCGTCTCCGAGTTTGGCCATCAGCTCTCGGCAGGTGGTGACCAGGTCTGGCCGCGGCCCGTCCGAGCTCAGCTGCTCGATGTATTTGGCAATCGTGTCCACGTAGGCCTTCTCCTGGGCGGTCAGGGTGCTACGCACGCCGGCCGTGCCAGAGCTCGAGCTCACCGACAGCTGGGGGAGAGGGGGTGAGGGTCAAATTAAAGCTGAAAATTCACTTTAACGCAAGTTAGGTACTTGATCGCCGTGGGTGAGTAGCACTGGGAGCCATCACTCATATTTTTTAAGAAGCATCATTTTCGTCTGTTCACATTTACGAGAGGTTTGAGTTTAGTTTGATTTCCTTGTAGCATGCATCTAAGCTCATGGCACAATGCAGTCATTGCTCGGAGTCTCGGCTCACGAAGGTTATATGACGACCACGTAAAACATCGGTCTACTACCCAAGGATATATGATGCCATCAGTCCCTCACCTCGGGCTGTAGAGTGACGTCGAGCAGATCGTGCCCGGAGGGCGCCAGCGTGCTCAGCAGACGGTGTTTGGCCAGCTCCCAGCACGAGCTGAACGCCTCGTAGTGCGCCCGGTCCACCGCCTCGAATGTCTGCCGTGGGGTGAAAATTGTAAACAGATGCTTCAGAGATCAAAGGCACGAAATACAAAAGAACAGCCCACATTCCTGCTACTATCGTTTTTTCCATAGATCCCTAAAATTTCCACTCGTTCTCTTGTCCTCAAAATTTTGTACTATATTTTGTACTCGAGATTCGTTTAACAGGTATTACCCACGATCTTTCACTATATCCGCCTTGACAGAATAATTTTCCGACGTTTGCACGCCCATTCGCATTTTGCATTTTCCGATCTCGTCTCACAGATATACTGGCGTGCCCAAAATTCTGGCAGAGACATCTGATCGAATGGCCTTTTTAACACTCTCTTAAGTCCTCTACATCTCTGCCATTTTCAGCTTGTCATCCCGTTTCCACTACTCTTCCACTACTCCCCGTGCACTCTCTCCACCAGCGTCCCCACCTCTTTCCGGGACTGTTCAATGACGGTCAGCACTGCGTTCTCTCGCTCGTTGCGCAGGAATCCAGCGATGTCCGTGTCCTGAACAGGCTCCAGCGGCTGGAATGTTCTGGAAGCGTCCAGGGCATCCAGACGCATGGAGAGGGCTGGCAGGTCGACGCCCTTGGAGCCCAGCAGGATCGACCTGGTGATGGTGACAGAGATTTGCTTTGATAAATTTACCTTTGATCAAGCACCTAACTTGTCATGGATGCTCAACATCTGTCACTAAATGTGTCAATAATGAGCAATAGAAATGACCAGAACCGACAAAATCAGAAGGAAAGCTTAAAAATCTAATTGAAATATAATGCAGGAAAGAAAAGGTCAGAGGTCCTGTACTGCACCGTGTCAGTCATCCCACACCACTCACGCCTTGACATCCTGCGCTCCAGTCTGGGCAGTGCGCGCCCACAGCTGCTCTCCAGCCTGCAGCAGCTGTTTGAGGTTGCGCTGGACTCGCGGCAGCGGCGCAGCGGTGTCCATGTCGGTGGTGAGCCGACTGGCCTGCTGGACCAGCTCTGAGAAGCCGCCCTCAGACATTGTCTGAAAACAACGTAATAATTGAGCTAGACTTATCAAGAGGTTCATCAGTCACAGTGTAGGTTTGAGACTCAGATTGATTTCCTATTAGGCATTACAGCCGTGATCAAAGTTCAAACATCTAATCTAATGGGTACCGTAAAGTGGGGCTATTTGAGACAGTGGGGCTATTTGAGACGGTATTTAAAATCGCTATAAAATGAAGAGCGTTTGATTTTTATGTGATATTTTTGCTCAGGAAGGTGTGGAATCGAGCAGTAAATTCGCCTGAGCAAAAATTAAGCATAAATTTCAAACGGTTTTTATTTTATAACGATTTTAAATACTGTCTCAAATAGCCCCACTGTCTCAAATAGCCCCACCTTACGGTATCTAGAGCTGTTGATGACAATTTGATCTATTTATTACGAGCGAGCGAGCGAGTTCATACTGAATTAAGGGAAAATCCTGAGTATGAGCGGCCGGCCGGCCGAAGGGACACTCTTCAAAAGCGTTCTTGCCAACCACCGCACGTGGCGCGTGGTTAAGTTGGACATTTTTAAGAACCCCCAAAATTGCAACCTCAATAACGGCACAACGGTTGGGCCGATTGAATTGAAACTTGGTACACAGTTAGGTCTCTATCAGATAATTCATCTGCATGTGTTAAGGTTGGGCTGCTACAGCATGTGCGCACGTGCAAGGGCGATTTCTATATCTCAGGAATGACCGGGCCGATTGCGCTCAAATTTGGCATGTCGGTAGAAACCGACGAGGTAGGTGACTTGCGGACGTTTGTGTGGGAGAGACTGTGCATGTGCGCACATGCACAACCCGCTTCTATATCTCCAGAAAGGTCAAACCAATTGTTCTTCTTTTTGTATTTTTGTTTTTCTTCCGCTCGCTCGTTCATCGCCGATAAAGGCGTTTTACTGGTGTAAGCACTTGACTTTAACCTTCGCCCCAGTGGGGGGGGGCATATGTTACCACCCTGTCGCGTTTTTCGCGTGTGAATAAAAATCGCGGCGCGTAGCGCCGCGCCGCTTGGGGTAGCTTTTGGTACATCAATTTTGGACAATGTGTGAAATTTTTGACCCCAGGTCATGTCAGGTCAGGTCACCAGGTCAAGTTAACTGACCAAGCCTTAAAAAAAAGTTTGCAATCATGTCCAGCCTGCAGTGTTTGTTAGAAAGGTTTTAAACTTGGTGGATTGCATGCTGTTATGGGAGCGTACAAGTTGTATATCTCGGATTTTTTATATCCGTGACCTAAGGTCAGGTCAGTGGCATGACCTTTCCATTACAAGTCAATGGAGAAAAATGAAAATGCCTCTAGATCCGTGTGTACGCATAGGAACAGTCCAAATATTTCAGAATCACAATGATTTAGTCCACTCGTGATGACCAAGGTGTCATTTTTGCTGATAGCCTCTAGAAAGGTCATCCGAGGTCATTTGAGGCTACAAACAGTTTTTTGCCAATAACTCGCGATTGGAAAGAGATAGAACGCTGGGGATGGTCTCATTGTGTTTGTCTTGTTGAGACGCATCGACTGATATGCAACATGACCTTTTCCGGTCAGGTCATGACCTTGACCTGAGGTCAAATTTTTAAGTTGACCTTTCAAGGTCAAATTATAGTTCATTCGACGCGTCTCGGTGAGGGGAACACGATTCTGGCAATAGAAATGTCGTGGCTTTTTGTAGTCGAAAGTTATTGTCGAAAAACACTTTTCGTAAAAACAGCTATTTTTGGAGTTTTTGCCCTCTGGAGGCTAAACCGTTGACCTGAGGACAATATTTAAAATGACCTTTTCAAAAGAAGAGTTCAAAAGCTATCGATTGCTTTTCCATGCGTTTTTCTAGCTACCATAGTTCCTGAGATAGCGGCATGTTTTCTGAAAAATATAATGACAATTGACAAATTTTGACCTTTGATGACCTCTGGTGACCCCAATATTGCTCTAAGGTGAAAAATGACCGAAATACTTTCAAACGTACGTATTGAGAGCTATCGACTGCTTTTTACCGCGTCTTTCTAGCCCTCTTAGTTTTTGAGTTAGAGGTGGGTGGTAACATATGCCCCCCTCACTAGGGCGAAGTTGGCCGAGACCGCCACTGGGGCGCGGGTTAAGTCTTTGCTTATTGATAGCCCAGAATACCTGCGACTTTGCAGTGACTCACTACAAGTGAGACACCTAGACGGGGAAGGTGGCAAGTAGATACGAGATTAGCAGCACAAGTGGCAATTGGCATGCTTTCATAGTGTTGATAGCCCTAGCTTCACAAACACAAGTCACCAATCTTTTCAGACATTTCGATGGAATTTATGCTAGGATAATTTTATTAAATGGAGCCATATTTAATGGAATAAATAGCAATTACAATTTAAGCCACATCTGCCATCATTTCAGTCTCATTTTGCTTTGAAACTCACCTTTGAGTCGCGACAGTAATATGCAAAATAAATCGGCCACTTATACCGATTGCTTTTTCTGATGATCTTTAGTCACTAGCCTTGAAAAAAAAATTAATTCAACAAATGCTAAGCAACTGAGTTCCTCGCCAGAGCCTCACGCGCGGCAACAACGCGCGCGCCGGCAGCAAGCTCAAAATGGCTTTGTCGCAGTTGCGTGATATATGTCTCAATCGTTTGAAATAGGTAGCGTTCGTCACCGAAGACTTTGAAGACTTTCACAAAAAAGTATGAAAAATGTCTCTAGAAAAGAACATTTGGAAACTGCCGCCATCACCATGCCCGGCAGTCCCTTTGCGTATCGAATTTACGAATGACTTGGCTATTGAGGATTACCGTGCCGCATCTTCATTATCTTACATGTCCGTGTACTTCATCTTGCGCCACCCTTTACCTAGTAAATCTCCGAAATCACTGCTGGTTCACCTGACCGCATAAGTCAACTACTCCCATGGCATGGTCGGTGACCCAGGGTGTGACCTCACTCATCAAGGTAAATGCGCCGTGTGTTTTAGATCATCAGATCTTAATTAGCGATTACGGAAATCGGATGCATCCAGCGATTAGCGACTTCAGTTCTTGTTCAGTTCATTCGTACTATCTACCGACCCGATGTAAACGTTTGCATGTAAACGGCTCTGATCTGACAGCGCTATGCCACCGCTAAACATTACCCCACCCCCTTGTTCGTGCAAACAGGCCAACATAACTCACAACTCTGTATTTCACCTCAGATTTCCACATATGCGAAACAATATATCACTTCTGGGACAAGCATATACCACAATGAGGCCACTGGCCGAAGCAATGACGAGCGATACACAATGAACGATAAATTGGAAAGCGCAGGCCGCAGATTCACGGCAACGGACAGTGAGCAGAACCCTCATCAGCCAGCGATCAGTCGGTTTAGTCGACCTCCTCGATGGTCGGGCCGCCGGCGCCTCCCTTGGGGGCGTCACCGCCGGGCATGCCTCCCGGCATCCCACCGGGCATACCACCGGGGGCGCCGCCGCCCGCGCCCTGGTACAGCTTGCTGATGATGGGGTTGCAGATCTGTTCCAACTCCTTCTGCTTGTGCTCGAACTCGTCCTTCTCCGCCAGCTGGTTGCCGTCCAGCCACTTGATGGTATCGTTGCACTTGTCGATGATGGTCGTCTTGTCAGACTCGGAGATCTTGTCTTTGACCTTGTCATCCTCGACGGTCGACTTCATGTTGAAGCAGTACGACTCGAGGGCGTTCTTGGCGGAGATCTTCTCCCGCTGGGCCTCATCCTCCTGCTTGAACTGCTCGGCCTCGTTGACCATGCGCTCGATCTCCTCCTTGGTGAGGCGACCCTTGTCGTTGGTGATGGTGATGTTGCTGGCCTTGCCGGTCGACTTGTCGGCCGCGCTGACGTTCATGATGCCGTTGGCGTCGATGTCGAAGGTGACTTCGATCTGCGGCACGCCGCGCGGCGCCGGTGGGATGCCGGTCAGTTCGAACTTGCCCAGCAGGTTGTTATCCTTGGTCATGGCTCGTTCACCCTCGTAGACCTGGATCAGCACACCCGGCTGGTTATCCGAGTACGTGGTGAAAGTCTGCGTCTGCTTGGTCGGGATCGTGGTGTTCCGCTTGATGAGGGCGGTCATCACGCCTCCGGCCGTCTCGATACCGAGCGAGAGGGGCGTCACGTCCAGGAGCAGCAGGTCCTGCACCGCCTCAGACTTGTCGCCGTGCAGGATGGCAGCCTGGACGGCAGCGCCGTACGCCACAGCCTCGTCGGGGTTGATAGACTTGTTGAGCTCCTTGCCGTTGAAGAAGTCCTGCAGGAGTTTCTGGATCTTAGGAATGCGCGTTGAGCCACCGACCAGGACGATGTCGTGGACGGAGCCCTTGTCCATCTTGGCATCACGCAGCGCCTTCTCGACCGGCTCGAGGGTGCCGCGGAACAGGTCGGCGTTCATCTCCTCGAACCGGGCGCGGGTGATGGACGTGTAGAAGTCGATGCCTTCCATCAGCGAGTCGATCTCGATCGAAGCCTGTGACGACGACGACAGAGTCCGCTTCGCCCGCTCGCAGGCCGTCCGAAGACGACGCAGCGCGCGCTTGTTGGTCGAGAGATCCTTCTTGTGTTTCCGCTTGAACTCCTGGACGAAGAAGTTGACCATGCGGTTGTCGAAGTCCTCGCCACCGAGATGAGTGTCTCCGGCGGTCGACTTCACCTCGAAGATGCCGTCCTCGATGGTAAGGATCGACACATCGAAAGTGCCGCCGCCCAGGTCGAAGATGAGCACGTTGCGCTCGCCGCCGACCTTCTTGTCGAGGCCGTAGGCGATGGCCGCCGCCGTGGGCTCGTTGATGATGCGCAGCACGTTCAGACCGGCGATCGCGCCGGCGTCCTTGGTCGCCTGACGCTGCGAGTCGTTGAAGTAGGCCGGTACTGTGATGACGGCATCGGTGACGGTCTTGCCCAGGTACGCCTCGGCCGTCTCCTTCATCTTGGTCAGCACCATCGAGCTGATCTCCTCCGGCGCGAACGTCTTGTCCTCGTTCTTGTACTCGACGCGGATCTTGGGCTTGCCGCTGTCGCTGATGACCTTGAATGGCCAGTGTTTCATGTCTGACTGCACGGCAGTGTCGTCGAATCGCCGGCCGATCAACCGCTTGGCGTCTGTGAAAAGCAGAGAAACAAGGGTCAGAATCGCCGAAAACGGTGACAAGTTCGATCTTTTCTAACGGTCCGGCTAAATTATTTCAGTCCGCGTAACCGTAATTCAATTGAGAGGATCACAATTAATACCGATAAATATGACCGTGATATAATCAGATAGCTAAATATATTTTTAAAAAACCCCACTCAAAATCATTTTAACACGGGCAAATGTGTAGCAATTCAACCGCGAAGAACTTCGCAATTTTCTAACAACCGAGTTTCAGCCGTGATAACCGATCGGGAAAAAAAATCGGCCAATTTCCATATAACAGTCATGTTTATTCACGAATACAAATATCCTCCACTGTGCCGTCGATTACTCACCGAACACCGTGTTGCTGGGGTTCATGGCCACCTGGTTCTTGGCGGCATCTCCGATCAGCCGCTCCGTGTCGGTAAAGGCCACGTAGCTGGGCGTCGTCCGATTACCCTGGTCATTGGCAATGATTTCCACCTTGCCATGCTGGAACACTCCCACACAGGAGTAGGTGGTCCCGAGATCAATTCCAATCGCTGGAGCTTTCGCCATTCTGGAAAGACAGAAACGGGACCGTGAGTCGAATAGATAGAACAGGACATCACGTCAAGGAATATTCGAACACCTCCTACCCGATTCAACCGCAACAAAAGTTCATCCTCAGAAAATTTGCAGATTTTATCCCTCCACTCAAGTTGGATTTAATCCGTTTTATGTTGCTATCGGTCCCAGCTCGGACAGCGTAACAGTAACGCCTGATTCAAGACTCCCGTGTTACGTGTATGGCGTTTTATAACTTCCGTAGGCACAACGAATCGCGCATCGCGGCTGTATTGGATTGCGAGGGCCAAAGAATAATATAAAAGCTACCGAAAAAAAAACTGGAAAAGCCAGAATCGCCCCCGCTGAAGTTGGTTACCCGGTCCAAACCCCGGAACGCTTGTTCTCAGAGGGCCACACCGGGAAAGAGATCGGGACGTGCCCCAACGGGGACTTACCTGTTAGCTTATGCTATATCCACAGTTTCAGACGCTCTTCGTGAACTTAACGCACCAGTCGCCAAACTTCAAATTCTGACCTGCGAACTCGCCGCCCAGCTAAATAACACCTCGGAAAACTCGGGAAGCAGACAGCTCATTGACCGTCACCATGACGACAGCAGACCAATCGGCGCACGGCAGACGGCTACTTGCACTGTACGGAGCGCTGTGATTGGTCCGTTGGCGCCGCCCTGCCAGAACGTGCGATTGGAAGGTGCCAGATACGTCTAGAAACCGCCAAAGTTCGTAGCCGACTAGAAAATTCCAGAGTTATGCTGTGGGCACGTGGGAAGGTATGATCGGAATGCTCATTCATAATGACTGGTTACAATCAACTGTATATTGATATCGTGAAATACGTGACCTACATACAGCAACTACGTTACATCACAATGGCAAAATTACGACCGCTTCAAAGACCTCATTGGTAGGAGCGTGCTGACGAAAAAGCGACAAGTTCTTGGCCAGCGAATGGGGACCTTGGCGGAAATGCCAATCGGCGGGCAGAACTCGCGCCAAAGGGACGCGGTCGCGGGTTATCGTAATCATCATTACGATTCGTAATCAGTGTAACGTCAGTCCTCTTGCCGAAAGAAGTTTGGGGGATAATTGAGGCCATCAGCCCTCCCCCATGCCCTGCCCTTTTATTTCTTAAATCGACCCCAAAATCCAAATATTTCGATTCGCGCCCGGTGACCGATGAAATAAAATCGGGTCACCGAACACGGTTTACCAATGCATTACAAACCATCCTGGCCCGGCAACAAGCATGAAGTAATTGCAGATAATCGTGTTGCCTAGTTAGTTGCACATCAGCCGATGAAAGGGTACGACTGCCAGCAGTACAGTAAACAGATACAGACACACCCTACCGTGTGACTCCTGACTCCTCGCTGATGAATCATCAGGTCGTGCAGCTGTGTCACCGTGTACTCGTCATCTGGATGCCGGTCATCAGCAGGGTTCATGGTTTATTGTTTATTACTGTTTATTACTTGCCCCCATCACACCCTGAATGCTGTACTGTGGAACCGCTTCTTACTGCACCTGGAGCCCAGTTGGAACAAATGGTACTGGGCCCTGAGCGTCGAACGTCTTTTAGTCCCGGACCAATAATGAATGAATATAAATGCTGCTAATAATGTTCCCGAGTTTATTGGTTTTGTCATTAGTTATGTGCGCCGTTTTGCAAATTTGCACATTGGTGACTCGGCTCCAGTCGAGTCTCGATTTTTTATTATTAGCCTACGCTTCTTTCTCGAGAGGGTACGTACGTTTACCGATTAATTCGGCAAAACGTCCATGCATAACGTTCGTGCAACTGCATGGGACGATCGTATGATGAAAATCTCTTGAGGAAAACCGTTCCAAATGTACGTCGAAACCGACAAAACGACTGTCATTCCTGCCTGGTTCCTTGGCGGCTTACCTTATCCACCAAAACGGCTATCTGTCCGTTCTACCCCTCACTCCCTGGGCCAGTGGCATCTTCATCGTGTTCTGCCATCAGTAGCGGCGGAACACCCTCAATTAAGGGGGGGGGGGGGCACTGCCGACTTTTGGTCCCATTCTTTCCATGCAACTCCCATAGGGCTAATGTTA